TGCCGCCGCCGCCCAGCGGCGGCGGAGTGCGCGGCTGCTCCTTCACTGTCCCTAACCCGGGCAGGAAGCGTGGGCAGCAGCAGCGCGGCAAGGGCCGCGGTGCCAGGGGCCGTGCCGATGCTGGACCCCGTCTCGTTGACAAGAACGCGCTGTCCGCGCGCGGCAGCGGGCCCTCGCGCCAGTCGCGCTCGCCGTCGCCCGACTCTCCGCCCGCCAAGCGGGCCGCCTCCGCTGACTCGTCCGGCTATGAAACCGATACGCCGGACGAGGTGCAGCAGGAGGCGGTCCGCAGGGTATGCGGCGCGCTCGGCATGAGGGAGCAGTTTGAGGCGGCGATGGCGGCGGGCGAGCTGCTCGAGATGCTCGAGAGCTTGCCGCGAGGGGCGGTCGAGGCCTCTGTCCGACAGATGCGGGGTTACAACCGCACGGGCGAGTGGCCAGAGCCCATTCTCACCAGCCCTGCCCCGCAGCGCGGCCGCTCGCCAAGCCCCGTCGATGAGTGGTCAGATGGTTAGTGCCCGAGAGCGAGGGGTCCGGGGGGGAGCACAAACATAGGACGCCCAGCCTTGCCCTCGTGCCGCCGAGTGCATATCCTATGCGAGAGAGATCCCCTGTGCCCTGTGCCCAGCCCTCTCCGCGCGGCGATGCGCCCTCGCCCCTCGCTTTTGCAAAATCCTGCAAAGGTGGGGACGTGTCTGTCCTCGACCCAGCCCTAGCTTGGGATGTCCGTTGTATTTATTTATAAAGGAAATACGAATGTCGCGCTACTTATCCTTTTTGTTTTCCAAAACCTCTCTCTCTCTCCCTCCAAAACTCACCCAGAACTCTGGCCAGCCGCCTCTGAGCTCTGTGTCGTCAGTGGGCGCTGCGGCCGTTCGTCACTCCGACAAGGCCTCGAGCGGGTCCGTGTGCCGTAGCCCCGACAGGACGGCCACAAACTCCTCGTAGTCGAGGGTGCCCGACTTGTCCACGTCCAGCGCGTCGAAGGCGACTGCCGCCTTTCGCGCGAGCGACTCCTCGTCGCGGCTGCCCCCCGCCGGCAAATTGCGCCCGACGCACTCCATCGCGCGCAGCATCTCATCGCGAGAGATGACTCCGTCGCCTGTGCAGACCATATGGCCGTGAAGAGACGCCGTTCACAGCATCTCCTCGCGCGGGACGCCGCCGCCGCCGTTGACGTCGAGCGCGGCGAAGGCGGGACGCAGCTCCGCCTCAGGCGCCTGTTCACAGGGGCGGGCGTGAAGGGGCGCCACCCTCTGCATACGCTGGGTCTCCGCCGGGCGGCCGCCTTGTACTCGCTCACCGCCTTGGAGCTCATCAGGCGCACGAAGGTGGCGAAGTCGAGCGAGCCGCTCCCCGCCTCCGCCTCGCCCGCCTCGCCCTCCGCCTCGCCCTCCTCGGCTCGCCCGCAAAGCTCGT